GTGGTTATTAGCACTTGCTTGTATCTACAATCTCTTGAAGGAACTTAAAAGTCTTTCATTGGACCTCGTGTCTTTGTTGTATCACCTGAGGACAAAGTGGTTAACTTCATCACATTTTTCTGTTTAAAGGAACAAAGATCCAAAAGTTAAATTTAATCTATTGGCTTTAGGGCAGCATGAAACTAGTATATTCACTGATACAAACTATAAAATGTAGACAGACCAATACCACTATCAATGTTTCAATCGCTGGTGGCATCATTAACTGTTGATCTTTGAGAAAAACAAAGTTTACAGTTATGTATCTGCTTGTATCAACTCAAATTTGTTTTGCTACCAAACACTTCTCTCTTAAGTCTTTCTAGACAATGAGTAAACCTGGATGCATGTGTTTTATGAGGCTTTCCAGTAGGCAGACAAGTATATGTTAACTGAGGAACAATCTCTTTTGTTTCAACTTACCAGGACACTGAAAATAATTATTGCTAGACCTACTATTGATAGATGGGGAAACTGAGGATCGGCATGGTTAGTGATTTGCCTCAAGAGCACCCTGCTCAGGGAGGCAGGGCCAGGTCTGAAAACTTAAGTGTGCCTGAGGCCAAGCCTGCATCCTCATGGATGGGGACACTCCTGGAAGATGCTTAACAGATGTCACCAAGGAAAAGGCAAGAGCAGGGAGGGATGTTACAGGCAAGAAGATCATATCCACTATCAGACAACCAAAATGTCAAAAAGACATCATCACTGGAACACCAGCTCTTCCAATTCTATCCTTTGGGAAAAAGTGCGATCTCTTGATATGACAAAAATCAAGTAGTTGCTGCAGGTAGGACAACTAATCCAAATTAGCAACCCAGGAAGCGTCAATATCACTCAAACATAAAAATGTGAATTAAGGCACCATTAAGGAACTGCTGCTAACTTGACAACCTCCTTAGTGTAGGGGCTGACCTGTCAAGAAAGGGCAACATTTCAAACTAATCAACCCAGGGATCTCTCAGAGCCAATGGCAACAAGGCACAGAGAAGGGGGTGGCTCTCGGGGCAGAGTTCAGGCAGCCATACAGCCCTTCGGCCCTTCCTAGTGGGACAGGGAGTGTGGTACTCACAGCTGGCACTCGTCCCCCTTGACGCCTTTGGTGGTACAGAAGCACTTGCCAGTGTTGGTATTGCACAGCGACGCGTGCCCGTTGCACTTGCACGCTGGGGAGAAGGGGAAAGAAAGGGGGGGCGGTCACAACTGGCTGGAAAGATTACAACTATCAGATTTCTCCCAAAACAAATAATTTTATCTGAATCGAGTTTGATAGGAAAGACAGATAAAATAAGAGCATTTAATGGGTAAGAGTCATGATTTTTCAGCCAGTGACAATAATGTAAAGGCAACATTAAAGGAACCAAAGTCAAAGAACAGGAGGACAGAGAATGCTGGTTCCCAATGCCACCTGTGGCAGTCACTATTTTGATCTTTTCAATACTCTCTTTTTCACTACCATGATTCTTTCATTCATTCAATGAACATCTATGAAGTATCTCTAGTGTGCCAGATGCTGGGTGGGGACACAGACACAGTCTCTGGCCCACGGAGACATGCTGGAGACAACTGCCCTCTGAGGGGAGGGTTGGTCTGGCTGCCCTCTGCCTTAGCTTCTCCACATGGCCACATTTTGAACCCCAACAGGGCCTGGAACTAGGGGTCAGCGTTTCAGAGGCCTCAGGACTCACCATCCTTGTCCCGCCTTCTTTTTTGCCTTTACTGAAATTGACTCTTCCCATCCCCCTCCTCTGGCCATCTCAACGTATATCTACCTTTTTTCATTCAACATATAAGCTATGATAAATTTTATACTCCAGTTGAAATAAATTAAAATCTTTTTGCTCAATATCTTTTTCACTTTACACTCTGTTTTTCTGTGAGTAAATTAAAGGCATCAGGCTGCAGAGAGGTGTATTTTGTTTGTTTGTTTTTTTACACACAGGGTCTCACTCTGTCACCCATGCTGGAATGCAGTGGTGTGATCGTAGCTCACTGCAGCCTCAAACTCCTGGACTCAAGCAATAAGAGGTGTACTTTTAAAATAAATGCTGTGGGCCAGGCATGGTGGCTCACGCCTGTAATCCTAGCACCGTGGGAGGCCAAGGCAGGAGGATCGCTTGATGTCAGGAATTTGAGACCAGCCTAAGCAAGAGCAAGCCCCCGTCTCTACTAAAAATAGGAAAAAAAATTTAGCCGGGTGTGGTGGCACACACCACACTGCCAGCTACTCGGGAGGCTAAAGCAGGAAGATCACCTGAGCCCAGGAGTTTGAGGTTGCTGTGAGCTAGGCTGATGCCACAGAACTCTAGCCCAGGTGACGGAGTAAGACTCTGTCTCAAAAAAATAAAGAAAGAATAGATGCTGTGGAGGAAAAAAAATCATCAAAAGAAACCTATAAAACAGAATAGTGCATGATATTAACAAAATAGATGCTGGAGTCAAAAACACAAGTGTTCAACTCTTGGCTCTGTTGAGTCTGGGGGTGTGCAGTGCACTAGTAAAAAGCAAAGGCCTCAGTCAGTTTGCCTGGGTTTGAATCCAGCATCCTCCACTTGGCTCTTCTGTAACTCTGGGCATGCAACTTAACTGTTCTGAGTCTCAGCTTCCTTATCTATATAATGGGGATAACAACAGGACCTACCTTATAGGGTTGTTGCAAGGATTAAATGAGATAATATGTGTATGATACCAAAACACAGTAAGCATTCAATAAATCATGGCTATTATCTTTAGCCAAGGACTATACAATTTAAAGAAGAAAACATTAAAGATTTGGTGTTACTTGCAGTATTTTAAAACCATGCTTTCTATTGTGGGTAAGGACTCTGAAAAAATAAAGCAAGCTCTAAGTTCTGGACAATTATACTCACGCCCTATAGATATGACAGAGGAAAATCTGACTTTTCTAGATGGCAGCTGCAGATATGTGGATGATGGCACCCGGAGGTAAAACCAAGCCTACTAGTTAAGGTCAACACGTACTATGTGTGGTTCTCAGCTTGGCCACATCTTGCTGTGAGACATTGGGCAGGTTATTTGATCTCGGGGATAATAAATGCACCGGTGTTTTGAGTGGCTGTCAGTCAGCACAATGTCTTGTACACATCTATCACTCCACAATATCAGGTGCTCTGGTTATCATTTAATGTATAAAGTCTATTCACAAGGAGTAGGGAAAATATTTTTACTGAATACCTTTTAATCTGAACAAAGAAATTTTATTTAGGAGTAGTGGGAAATGACATTAGAAGGGTAATGATAATTGCTCACATCTGCTGAGTGTTGAGTATGTGTCATGCAATGCTCTGAATGCTTTAATCTCAACAACCACCCTATTATCCCCATTTTACAGATAAGGAAAGTGAACCCCAGACAGAGTAAGGGACATACAGCTCGAACATTACCTCTCTCCTGGCTGGTCTGGGATTATATTCTAAAGAGCCATGTTTAGGAGTCTGGAGGTGGGATATGGGGAGTAGGTAGAGATTTTCTTTGTTTTTATATTTATTTCCCCTGCTCAGAAGTTAAAGAGACTTTCAACTAGAGAATTCATGATATTTTTTAGCTGGAAACTAGAACAAATCAAACAACAGTTCATTGGTGTCACCTGTCATTTTTAAAAATAGAATTTATGGCTGGGCACAGTGGTTCATGCCTGTATCCCAGCACTTTGTTTGGGAGGCCAAGGTGGGAGGATGGCTTGAGCCCAGGAGTTCAAGACCAGCCTGGGCAACATAGTGAGACCATGTCTCTACAAAAACGGAAAAAAAAAAAATTAGCTGTGTTTGGTGGCATGCACCTGTAGTCCTAGCTGCTTGGGAGGCTGAGGTGGGAGGATCGCTTGAGCCAGGAGTTTGAGGCTGCAGTGAGCTATGATTGTGCCACTGTATGCCAGCTTAAGTGACAGAGTGAGACCCTGTCTCAAAAAAAAAAAAAAAAAAGAATAGAATTTATGTTCTAATAATAAAATGTTCTACTGCTTGCAGGCTTCTGTTGGACATGAATGGGGAAACATGGGACTATTTAAGTCTTTTAAATGTACTGGAAGTATCGAGGAGTCTGGCTTTAGGTTAAAAAACTGTGTGTGATTTTTCAGGCCCGACACAGTTAATGACACAGGCTTCATCTGGCTGCCTCAGGGGAAGGCTGCCCTCCCTACAGCAGACTTGGAGCACACACAGCACTACAGAATCTCCCAGGAAGTTGCAGTCAAGGACCCAGGACCCTTACCAGACATGCTCTTTCACGTATTTACATTCCTAGCCCCTGGAGCCTTCATTCCTGGGTCCCACACCTGAGGCCTTGGGCAGAGGTATTCTGCAGGTGCCTCTGCTATGAGGGCAGGAGAGGGCAACCCTAAAGACACTTTCCCCACTCCGACTCAGTACCCAGGACTTTCCTACTCCTAGCGCTTCCTCCTTGCAACCTCCGGGCAACCTGAAGATTCATAACACTGCTGGAGCATTTTGTTTGGGGCTCCCCCCACAATGACCCCCAGACCCTCAAGTCTAAGCTGATCCACCTAACCCTTGACTGGTGCACTGTTCCATGGGGGAAAAGGGAACAGGGCACTTAGAGTCAGTGCCTTCTCTGATTTGGGCTCCTTTCTTATACCACTGCAGAATGTGATTAAAGGCTTAACTCACATTCAGCTTGTTGCTTTAACCGGCTGTGCCAATACCTGGCAGCTCAGCTCCCACTCTCAGCTCAGATGAGCCCCTGACAAGTATGACTTAATAACAAATGCAGTATCCAAAACAACATGGCTTTTCTCCTCCTACATATTCAAGTCAAATAGAAGTATCATGTTCCTCACGGATTTGCCATCAATAAACCTGACCAATCTGACTTACGCTGACATTTCCCTCCATTGGTGGGATCACCATGGAAGCCAGATATGCAGGTCTCGCAGTGCTTGCCCGTGGTCAGGTTTTCACACTTCTCACAGATGCTCTGATTGATGCATTTGCTGTGGCCATTGCATTGGCAGGCTGGAAGAAAAAGAATTTCAAGGGGCCTATCCCATGGCAGAACTGTGTTCAATAACTATCTCTTTAAGTTCTACTGCCTCTAAATGTAAAATCACCAAAACCCATTAAAAATTAGTTTGAGAAATAAGATCAGAATATCAAAAAAGAGCTAGTCCAGGCAAATCAGAAATATATCATAGCAAGGTGATAGCCCATAGCAACATTAAAAAATAATTTTTGTTGTTATCAATTGTAAAAATAACATATGCTCATGATAGTATATTTGAAAAATATTTTATCCTATGAAAAATATAAGGATGGAAAAAATCATATATAATACCATCACCCAGAGACCACGGTTAACATTTGGTATCTGTCCTTCCAATATTTTTCTATACAGTTTTACACAGTTGTGCTCATTTTAATATTCAATTTTGTGTTTTTAACTGAGATCACAATTATTTTATCACACTATTTCATTTATTATAAATCTTTAAATCGAAGAATGATTTCTATGAATTGTAACAGTTAACCATACACTCTAATATTCAATTTGCTTTAAATTTTTCATTATTAGAAAAATAACCATCTTTATATATAAACATTTCCACAAGTAGGATTACTAAGACTCCTGATGGATATGGGACTTCACAACTAGAAAGGCATATGAAGATTGGAACTCTTAGGACTGCTCAGGACAGCTGCATGGGCTGTGTACTGCAGAACTCCAGGTGGTGGGGAGTGAACATTCACACAGCACACAACCTGCATCACTGTAAACAAAATCTCTGATTCTGCAGATCTGTCTTAACTGATCAATGTGATGCAGTTTTTCACCATCTTGGCAACTTTCCATGGCCTTGGACCTGCTCTGTTTATCCATCTGTTATCTACCCCATCCATGTAGATACCTGAGTTACAAAACCTAAAATGATTGCATTGGTCGTGACTGCACCAAAATCACTTAAGATGTGTAGGATATTAGTTTTGCTCCTGTGAAGATGAGTAATTGTATGGGACAAAGGCTAAATAGCACAACACACATACAAAATGTAATACCTGAAATCTTTTACCAAAAATATCTGTATTCTCGTTCAAGATTAAAAGATTGGGCCGGGCGCGGTGGCTCACGCCTGTAATCCTAGCACTCTGGGAGGCCGAGGCGGGCAGATCGTTTGAGCTCAGGAGTTCGAAACCAGCCTGAGCAAGAGCAAGACCCCGTCTCTACTAAAAATAGAAAGAAATTAATCGGACAACTAAAAATATATAGAAAAAATTAGCTGGGCATGGTGGCACATGCCTGTAGTCTTAGCTACTCGGGAGGCTGAGGCAGAAGGATTGCTTGAGCCCAGGAGTTTGAGGTTGCTGTGAGCTGGGATGACGCCACGGCACTCTAGCCCGGGCAACATAGTGAGACTCTGTCTCAAAAAAAAAAAAAAAAAAAAAAGATTGAAAAAATGTTTCTCCCTCTCTTCCCTTCAAAATCCCACTGAAATTACAGAAGAAATGTAAAAACAAGGATAAATCAACAAGAATGTGGGATAAGAGGAAAAGGTGCTATAAGAAGTATTGAGAGGTACTTCTGAAGTAATAAGGAATTTCCAGAAATTAAAGTAGATTGGGTCAATAGGACAGAAGAAGGGGAACTGAGACACCTATATCCTAAAAGTAGGAGGAGAGGACTGCCAAAATGACTAGACGCACTTTACCAATCAACAACTGAAAAATCCAGCAGAGGCTGGGAGCCAGAGCAGGCCTCAGGAGAGTGGTGGACAGCAGGAAGCGGCAGATGATCTGCTCTGTGCTGCCTGCTCACCAGGTGGACGAGGCATCTGTCCAGGGCTGTGGTGGGAAAGGACAGTTCTGAGTACAGTGGGGAGGCTAGGGAGGAGAGGTTGGAGTCAGAAAGAAAAAGCAGGGCAATGCACTAGCTGTCTTTATGTTGCCATAACACCCAATGTGGGGGTGGCACTTGGAACAACCACGAACATGCCAAATGCATTCAAGCATGTAGGTCCACTGCTCCTTCCTCCAACGAGGGAGGAGCGCAAACCAGTCAACAATAACCAGAGCAGACCAGAGCCAGAGAGTCCTGAGACAGGCTAGCTAGCTTTTCCTTTAGTACACCATACCACACTTTCACAACAGCTCAGTTCACCCAACCAGTGGACAATACTGATAACACATTCAGTCATAAATGCAAATCGACCTTAAGGATTCATCAGTATAAGAAAATTCTCAACCTATAAGCACCACCAGGATGAACATGCACAGTAACTAACCCTGAAGGAAGAATTAATGCAAGAAATATAAGAATGAAAAATACTAATCTTAGTTTATTCAAAGGCTTAAATTACTGCAACCATAAAATTAAAAAGCAAGCACTGAAAAAACCCTCACTATATTTAGAACCCTTGTAAAATGTAAAATAATAAATAAAACAAAATTAGACACAAAACAAAAAATCCTCAGTAGGTTAAACAGGAGAATACATATGGCTAAAAAGCTATCTGCAAGAAGATACTATGAACTGTACACCAACAAATTTGATAACTTAGGTAAAACAGACAAATTCCTAGAAAAACACAGATTACTAAAACTGACTCAAGCAGAAATAGAGAATCTGAATAGACTTATAACAAGAGATTGAATTAATAATTAAAAATCTTTCAACAAAGAAAATGCCCAGGCCCAGATGGCTTCACTGATTAATTCTGTCGACATATAAAGAAAAATTAATGCTAATCCTTCACAAACTCTTGCAGTAAATAGAGGAAGAAGGAATACATCTCAACTCACTCTATGAAGCCAGTAGTACCCTGATACCAAAGCCAGTCATCACAAAAAAAAGAAAACTACAAACCTTTACACCTCATGAATATAGACATAAAATCCCCAGGTAGCAAATTGAACCCAACAACACATTAAAAACGATTATACATCATGACCAAAGGGGCTTTATCTTAGGAATGAAAGGCTGGTTTAACATCCTTAAATCAATTAATGTAATACATAATATTAACAGAATAAAGAACAAAATCACATCATGTCAATAGTCATAGCAAAAACATATGACAAAATATAGTACCCACTGATGACAAAAACCCTCAAAAAAACTAGGAAGAGAAGGGAACTTTCTCACCCTGATAAAGGGTATGTATGAAAAACCTGAGCCAGTATCATATCTAATGGAGAAAGACTGAATTTTTTCCCCCTAAGAAAAGGAAAAAGACAATGATGCCCATTCTCAACCACTTTTATTCAACATTATACTGGAATTTCTACCGAGGGCAATTAGTCCCCAAAAAGAGAAAAGGATATCCAGATTGGAAAGAAAAAAGTAAAACTGTCTTTATTAACAGACGACCTGATTGTGTATGTAAAAGACCCTAAGAAATTCCCTAAATAGTAGAAATAATAAATGAGTTTAGCAAGTTTGCATGATATAAGATAAATATACAAAAATCAACTCTATTTCTTCACACTAGCAATGACCAATCAGAAGATAAAATTCAGATTACAATTCCATTTATAATAGTATGAAGAAGAATAAGATATATAATAAATTTAACAAAGTAAGGGCAGGACATGTACACTGAAAGCTATAAAACATTGCTGAATAAATGTAAATGGTAAATAAATGGACATTTCAGGTTCAAGGACTGGAAGGTTTAATATCATTAAGATGGCAATACACCCCAAATTGGTCAAGAGATGCAATACAATTCCTATCAAATCAGCTGGCTTTTTGTTGTTGTCACTGCAGAAATTGATAAGCTCATCCTAAAATTCATATGGAAATGCAAATAACCCAGAACAGCTTTAACAATCTTGAAAAAATGCTAACAAAGGTGAAAGGACTTAGACTTCCCAATTTTGAAATCAACTGCAAAGCTACAATAATCAAAACAGTGTGATACTGGCATAAAGAAAAACATATAGATCAATGGCACAGAACTGAGGGCCTGAAAATAAGCCCTTATATTATTCAGTCAACTGATTCTCAACAAATGCACCAAGAAAAATCAATGTTAAGAAAAACAGTCTTTCTAACAAATGGCACAGGAACCATATCCATAAGCAAAAAGAGTGAATCCCTACCTCACACCACACACATAAACATTAACTCAAAATAGACCAAGGATCTAACATAAGAGATAAGCCTATGAAAGTTTTCAAAGAAAACACAAGAAAAAATCTTTGTGATCTTGGGTTAGTTAGGCACTGATTTTTTAGATACAATACCAGAAATCACATGGGATAGAAACACTGATACATTGGAGTTAATCAGAATCTAAAAGTTTTGATTCCAAAAGATACCATTAAGAAACCCACAGAATGGGAGAAAATATTTGCAAATCATATATCCAATAAGGGACTTGTATCCAGAATTCATAAAACACTCTTACAGTTCAATAATGAAAAGATAACACGATTTAAAAATGGGCAAACAATTTGAATAGATATTTCTCCAAAGAAGATACACGAATGGCTAACAAGATGTTCAACTTCATTAGTCATTAGGGAACTGCAAATCAAAACTATAAGGAGATAACATTTCTCACCCACTAGAATTGCTATAATCAAAAAGACAGATAATACCACGTGCTGGCAAGGACATGGAGAAATATGAACCTTCATACATTGTTGGTAAGAATATAAAATGGGGGAGCTACTTTGGAAAACCTCATGCCTATTATTCTTCATTTCTACTCCCAGCCCCAGGAAAACATTAAATATCTACTTTCTGTCTCCATATATTTGCCTTTTTTTGACATTTCATATAAATGGTGTTATAGAATATATATAATACTTGGCTTCCTTTACACAGAATGTTTGTGAGGGTTACCCATGTCACAGAATATGTCAGTACTTCATTCCTTTTTATTGCCGAATAGTATTCCATTGTATGGATATAACACATTTTGTTTATCCCTACGCCAGGTGACAGATATTTGGGTTATTTCCATTTTTGCTTGTTATGAATACTGCTGCTATGAGCATTCATGTACAAATTTTTGGGTGAAATACGTATCCAATTATTTTGCGTATGTACCTAGAAGTGGAATTGCTAGGCCATATGATAACTCTGTATTTAACTTTTAGAGGAACTGCCAAACTGTTTTCCAAAGTAGCTACACAATTTAGTAATTCTACCAGCAATATATGAAGGGCTCCAATTTCTCCACATCCTTGTCAATACTTGCCATTATCTGTTTTTTTGACTATAACTATTTCAGTAGGTGAGAAGTGGTATCTCCTTGTGGTTTTAACTTGCATTTCTCTAATGACGAATGATGTTGAGCATGTTTTCATGTGCTTATTGGCCATTTGTATTTCTTCTTTGGAGTTATTTTTATTGTTGAGTTTTAAGGGTTATGTATTTTGGACATTAGACTCTTACCAGAGATATGATTTGCAAATATTTTCTCCCATTCTGTGAGTTGTCATTTCACCTGATATATTCTTGATTATTAATGGAAAAACACAGATTTAAATATTTCATTAAAAAGTTAATCCCTAGTAGATTAGAAATAGAATTGTATATCCCCCCAATCTCAGAGGAAAAAAGGAAACACAGAAAATTTAAGCCAGTTTAGTAGACAAAAAACTGGTCTCTCATGTTATTTTTCACTTTCTTGTTCTATCTTCTTTTCTAAGAATGGCTTCTTTACATCCCTTGCCCACCTTTTCTGTTGGGTCGACATTTAGCTTTTTTTCCCCAGAGGGTGGGGTCTTACATACTCTACATGATATTCAGTTTTTATATACTTTGCAGATATTTCCTCTTGCCTTTTACCTTTTTTTACAGTGGCCTTTCCCATAAAGAAGTCCTCACAAAGAGCCCCGTTGTCAATTGTACTATCTGACAGGTTCTTGGAGAAGTTCTTGCCCACTAATCTCTTGGTAGTCTTTGCACCTGTCCAGCCTCTCCCAACTGTTCTAGAAGCTCACAAGCACATTCCCGAGTGGTCACTTCAAGTATGAATCAAAGGCCAATTTCTCAGAGTTGGTTTCTCAGGAACCCGCTCTCACCCCCAGCAGGTCTAGGCCCAAGCCCAGGCTTAGGGGCAGCTCCTGGTCTGTTCCTTCCTGTACCAGTCATTGGAAGTGAAGGGGGAGGGAGTTACATGTAAATGATGTAGCTTTCAAGGTTTTATTCTTTGTAAATAGGTAGTGAAACATTTGCATTTGAATATACAAGGCATCTTACCTGGACAGTGAATGAAAGACCAGTTGTACCTGCTGTCCTCCAGACACATGCTGGAATTGAGAAGAGGCTGTGGATAGGAATTTCCTGTAGGGGCCTGTGAAGGCATCTTCACTGGTCCTTTATAGGAACCTTCTATGCATTTCCCTTTGCCAGTATTGCTGGGATCAGTACACCAGCCACAGCCTGGTTGCTCCAAGCAATGACTACAGGTACAGTAGCCTGAACAATTTTCAGCTGTTAAAAAAAAAAAAAACCACCAAGTTGTAATTCACTACCATAGAAAGATTTGAATTTATTGTATTTAATATTACCTTTTTCTCTAACAGACTATTCAACTTCTGTGAGTCAAAATTCCTATTCTATTGTGATCATTTAAATGAGACAATGAATTTAAAGAGGGCAATATTTTGCCAACACATAAAAGGGACCCTCCCTCCCAATGCCCAGACGTTGAGGCAGAAGGGATCTTAGAGGTTATCTACTAGAAGAACTTACTATACGAATTAGGAAATTAAGATATGGAGACATGGATTGAATAATATGACACTGAAGTTGGGCAAGTTATTTCTATACTCTGCGACCTATCCTACATTTATTTACTTATATCAATGTGCCTGATTCTGTATGAAGTTCTCCTCAGTCAGGACTATCTCAATGGTAGCCTCTGGACAAACCTGAGCAGAAGGTCAAGTCCGATCTTGTCCCTAAAATGTTCAGAGGCTGAGAGCACTGCCCCATGGCAGAGTTGTCATCCAGACACAGGGCATGCGTGAATGCACAGAGCTCACTTTTTCACTTACGGGGGCAGCTGCTCATCGTATACCACTCCATACACTGGCCGAAAGGGAAGGAGGCCACATAGGCATTGGAGTCCACACACTGCTTCATGTTGCTGCACCACATGCATTCAGAGCTGCCGCTGGTGCACTCTCCACATGCCGTCCTCAAGGCACATGGCGTCCGGCATTGTTTGGCACTGTGGTTTGCTGAGAATTATACCCAAGAGAGACACTTAGAGTTTCCACCATGTCAGCTAAGGTCAAACTTTTCATAGGTGTGTTGTGACCCATTAGTGGGTCATGAAATCAATTCAGGGGCTACACTAAATGAAGATCAAAATAAAAAACATTAGCGTCATCATGCACTGTTTACCAAGTGTATTTATACACTTGGTAAAAAAAATGTATTTCTTTTCAGAGGGGATTAAAGACAAAGATGAAGGAACAAGTGAACCTTCCCATAAAAGTAGAGATCTAAGCCCCTTAGAATTTGGGGACCGAGGATGAACTCCAGGGTTTTTATAACCCACCTGAATATGCAAAACCTATGTTTGTAATTTGGGGGAGAAGAAGGACGAGAGTATTCATTAAATTCACTGACACATTTGGGATTCAAAAAGGCTAGGCAGCTTCCCTACAGAAGATTATAAATCATATTTTTAGGTGACTTCTACAATGCTACGAATTCTCTCCTACACCTCTGTATTCTTCAAATTGTAGTACTTTCCTAAAACTGGATATGATGTAAATGGAGGCCACCCTCCCCAAATAATCCACAATTCCACCTGAATTGTGAGTCCCTCTGCAGGAGAGGGAAGTTTATCTTGGGCTTGTCTGCTTGCTGCAGAGGCTACCCCTGGGCCTGTCTTTATGTAGCTGAAATGTAGCCCAAAGAGCGATTCAAACCTGTGAGGCTACTCACAGCGTTTGTTGGTTCAGCATTCTCCCACAGCTTTCGTGCGGTTGTGGTTTGCGTCTGTCTTCTGTCACAAAACTGCTCTCATCATTTTTCTCCCCACTGATACTACCTTTCTGAAAAATGTCCCTGCATTGATTTCCTTGCTTTTCTAATCTTTCTTTTCTTTTCTTTTCTCTTATTTTCCTCTTTTGTTCTTTCTTCCAAAGCATTTCTCTGCCAACACCAGGAAATTTGCCTTTTGGGGCAATTCTTAACACTTTTTGTGGTCAACAAACCAATCAATCTCACTGTTAATTATATTAGGTTCTATGAGTAGTGTTAGTTACTTATGGTTTTGCTTATGGATCAAATTATTCAGAGACACAGACTATTTCCTATTTCCCTCTGCTCCTAAAATTCTGGGTTATACTCTGCTTCATATGCTTGAAATCAATATTCCCTATGTTTTCACGAATTTTAAGCATCTCAGTATTGAATCATATGCCTTCTGTGGTTTCTCTCTCAATAAATTTCCAATAGCACCTAATCCACCCGTGCACTTACCAGGCCTTTCACAGACGCTACCATTGAGTGGGTTGATGCAGGTTGCAGCCTTCAATCCGCGAGTACTGGGTTCTGACAAGATGCCACAGAATCCAGCATCACTGGGCTCAGATGGCATCCACTGTATTAAACTATTTGTAAACGGGGACATATCTTCCCAGCACCAATAGGACACATTGATCTTCCGAAGGCCAACCCATGGGGTTAAGGTGAGCTTGGACTATAGGCAAAACAGACACAACTATGAATAAACCAATATTGACCAAAGCAGGCTTTTAGATAAAAATACTAAGGTATACCCCAAAGACACAGGAAAACCTCCCTATGCCCTGACTCAGCCATGGTAGATTAGGATACATCATCACTTCAATATGGCCATTTTACAAAGAACAGAAATATAGCTCAGAGAAAATAATACATCAAAATTTTCACAGAGATTAATAGCAAAACAATAATCAAGTTCTGAAACTTCTATATCCTATACAAATGCTATGAAGTTTGGTCACCCCTAAATTTGGTTTAAATCACCATTCATACATGAGATCATCTTACCAATATTTATGAAATAGTGGTTATATGCCTATTCTCACATCATTAACTAAGCCTATCTGGGGGCCCTGGCCTGTTCAGATGATTGAAGATTCCCACCTTTAGCCATGGGGTACTGCTTGGTACTAAAATTGTTCTCCCCAGCTTTACTGAGGTATAACCAACAAAAACTGTATATATTCAGGTATACAGTTTGATGTTTTGATATGCGTATACATTGTGAAATGATTACCACAGTCAAGCTAATTAACATAGCCATCACCTCACAAGCTACCAGTGTGTGTGTCTGGCGGGGGGGGGCGGGTAAGAACATTAAAAACAACTCTCAGCAAATTTCAGGTATACAGTACAGTATTATTGACTATAATCACCATGCTGTACGTCAGATCTCCAGAACTTATTCATCTTGCACAACTGAAACTTTGTGTCCTATGAACAACATCTCCCTATTTCCTATCCCCCACCAAGCCCATAGCAACTACCACTCTGCTCTCTGCTTCTATGCATTAAGACTTCTTTAGATTCCACACATAAGTGAGATCATGCAGTACATGGCTTTCTGAACTTGGCTTATTTCACTTTGCATACTGTCTTCCAGGTTTATCCATGTTGTCATAAATGACAGGATTTCTTTCTTATTTTTTAAGGCTGAATAATATTGCATTGTATATATATACAGGTTGAGTAGCCCTAATACAAAAATCTGGAATGTTCCAAAATCAGAAACCTTTTGAGTGCCGACATGATGCTCAAAGGACATGCTCATTGGAGCACTTTGGATTTCGGATTAGGGATACTAAGTTTAAAAAAAAAAAAAAAAAAAAGTTTTTTAAAATCAAAGTAGAAAGTTTAGCCCAGAAATGAAAGACAATCCTAATTTTGGCAGTCATAAAACAAAATGTACAATGTATTTCCATTTTTCAAGGAAAAAATACACACACCTATTAAAAGATTTTTACTTTTAAAAAGCCCTTCCATAACTTCTCTTTGCCTTCATGGTAAAATTCAAACCCTAACAGCATTGTGGCCAAGGTCTCTTAGGATTTGGTCTTGGTCTCCTCTCAAGGCCCAGCTATAGTAAATCCCTCCAATCCAGCCTGCAGCCAGCCACACAAACTTACCTGCGGCTGACTCAATGAGCCATTCCCTCAATCTCTACCTCTCACATATGGGGGCACTAATACACAAAAACCCCTTCTCTCTTCACCTTTCCAAATCACTCCTGCTTATCTTCAGGGGTTACTTCTTCCCAGCTGTCTACCAGCTATATTAAGGCTAGGTTGGATGCCCATTCTTGTTTTTCCATACAAATCTAGCCTGTACAAACTGGGCTACATCTAGAGGTACAGCTGTGGAAGCACATCACACTTTAGTTGTCTCTCATCTGTCAGTCTTATCACAAGACTGTGAATTTCTGTTTTATAAAGATGGCCACAGGAGATGAGACTACCCAGAACTTTTTATAGCTAAAAAACCTGAGGAAGAGAGAAAAGGGACCAGAGGTCTATCTGGGGCCAGCTGGGATGATTGAAACCTTCTCATTAGATATTCCTTCAGAGATGTGCATTCGAGTTACTGGTAGAGACACCAGGGTAATGGGCAAAGCTGTGAGCCATCGATCCACTTCCCAAGGGAATGAATGACTATGGGTAAGGTCAGCTGACACCCAAAGACAGAATACTGGAAAGGGCCCACATTTGGGGGTGAGGGGAAGAAGAAAAACAACATAGTCTCCCATGGAGATTATGAAATTTGAAAAAGCTATCAAAATATCGTAAAATACCAAATGTGGCCACAGTATCCCCCGAGGTAAGCACACTAAGAATGTGTTACCAGTGTTTGAGTGTCCATACCAAATCAAAGTTGCACTGGAAAAAAAGACTGATAGCAAAGTAAAATACAGGGCACCTCCTACCAGTTTCAGAATGGCCCTTCAGATGGTACGCAGAGGCCACACATATTAGGACCCAGAGACACTTTCCATACCTTCACACGAAGAAGGCTGCACCCAGGGAAGTGCTGCTCTCAACTCCTCCCTGCTTGACAAGAACATTTCCACTGAGCTTTGCTGTACCACAGCCAACACTGCTAACAGAGGTTTTCTCTAAGAGTGCCTACTTAACTGAGGGTAGGATCACAGTTTGGACTTCGGACTAAAAATGACATTACAGAATATCAACTACAAGCCACCTGAGAGCACTGGGTGGACGGGAAGAGAACTTGAGCCTCCCTGAGCTCAGCAACTCTTGATGAGAAGGTGCTGTCTTCTTTTGGGCTGGCCAGGTCTTAGAGAAGAGACCTCAATGCATGTACATTTCTTAGCAGTGACCATACAATACTATGCACTGTAATAATACCTTAAATTTAAGGAACTCAGGTAGCTAAATTCAACCTGGCTAATTAGCAGTGACCTCTCCCTTCCCCCCAGCAGAATCTAGAGATAAAACAGGTATGAAATCATCTACTGATGTCACCAGAGTATGTGCATATACATAAATATTACTATTTGTCCCACATATAATTATTTAAACACCTTACAATTTATTTAATAGATGTGACTAATAAAAATATATAAAGTATTAAAAATTTTAAGATAAGAAAAAAGGCATTAAAGGAAGAGACTCTGACAGTACAGCTCCAGTCTATTCACGCTGCGTGTACTAGCATTCCTGCTTCTGCTGAGCACATCACATGTAGCCACAGCCTTCTTTACGCAACCTGCAGTCATGCCCTCAGTAGAAAGGTGGATACCAGAAACTTAAGTTCTAAGGAGTTTAACTCACCAAGCTCTGTGATGACTGCATTATTCGCAGCTGCTTAAGAACAAATTCTACCTTCTTCTGGGTTGTAAGAGAAGCCAAAAATGCATTGTGGTTCCTACAGGACAATTTGGCATTGTCATAGGTCTCCTTGGCAGTAGTAATTTTCAAACACGAGTTTCCAACCAAATGCCAGCCAATGCCACAGATATTTTCTTTTGTAAAGGGGGAAAAGAAAAAAAAAGAGTTTTAAAAATCACACAAAACTACTACATTACTAGTTCAAATTACTGAACACTTAAGCAATCTTTGTGATTTGAACTCCAGGAACTTCATTAGGATGTGGTAAGGGCATCAGACACATTACTGAGAACCAAACACAGAATATAAGAATAAAACACAGTTTGTCAGTTATATCTCCTGGATTACAAGAAGTATATTCTGAGGTCACCTTTCCTCTGTCTTAGAAGAAAACACCAGTTTGATGCCAATGTTAGACTGGTACACCGCCTTTTGAAGAACAATTAGAAAGAAGACTAAAATCTTGAGTGAAGAGCAGACAAATGAATATCCGTATTGGAAGGGTGGGGTAGAACACTGCAAGAATGGAAGTGGAGAATAAATAACTCTACAATCTCCAAAAGCTGCACTGTTTCCGCATCATCAGGTGGAAGGTACAATCAAGTGCACAAAGCATCCCAAAAATGAGGTGGGAATATTGTTCTTGGGAAAACACCAAAGTAATATGGCTGCAGCACACAAGGAAAGCTTGTAATCTGCAGCTGGTGATCATCCTGAGCCCACACAAGGTACTAGAGACAAGCTACAAATGCTTCCTGGAAGATAATGAATAAGCAAAGCAACTTCAGCAGAACCAAAGTACCCTGAGATGCCATTAACAATGTTCATTAACAGTAACAGTTACTGAGATAAATGAAAGGCGCCATGGGAAAGAGATCATAAGAGCAGATAAAGACCTGCTCCTCAAAGTGTGGCATCAGCAACTAATTAAAATGCAGACTCTAGGGCCCCACTCTAGACTTGTACCTTTAGCAAGATCCCCAAGTGTTTCCCTGTACATTAAAATTTGAGACACACTTAGATAAAGAACAAGAAGCTCAATCTGGAAGCTGAATGAAGCACTTCCAAAGGACATTCAAAAGGGGCCTGGTCCAGCCCAACTGCCCTGCATACTCCTAGACGTTGCGTACAGTCACAGAAGTTCCCCTTCCCGGACATCCTGGGTAAGCAAATATATCACAGAGGTTCAGTCATGGCTGGCTGGCTTCACGCCCCAGACTCATTATCCTGAACTTCAGAAGTGCTATATATTGAGGTACTCAGGGCTGGAGATCATCAAAAAGTACCAACAGAGGTCTCTCCTCTTCTCAGAGAAGGCCTCTCAGCAGGTGCCAAGAGCCAAATGCCAGTGGTCAATAAGAAGTACTCTTCATAAAGTGCCAGCAGACGGGCTGTGGAAACTGCTGTGTTCTAGTCCCAGGTTAGCATGGCAGGGTGGGGAGGGGACAATAGAGCGGGCTCAGTGATAGGGAGCCAAACTGTCAACTGATTCTCCAGAGCAACAGAAGATGATTTACTTTGTTTCAAAGGATAGTAGGAGCAAATACTTAAGAGCTGTATTTTAGTTTAAAACAGTAACAACCATACTACTGGTATGGGGAATGAATGGATAGAATTAGCTTTTCCCCTGGGCTAGGTTCAACCTAGGCTGCAAAATATTGGGGGAGGGGGAAAAGTTGTGGACTCACACACATCAAGATGCCCCTGGCAAGGCCTACCGGGCAGGGCGATGCACTCCTGATTCCGGGGCTCCCACTGGCAGTTCTGGTCCAGGGCACAGCTCCTGCAGCTGGTCTTCTTGTTACAATAGTACATGGGGTTATCCTTGGGGCAATTGTCATACTTGAAAATGGAGATCTAAAATACAGGGGACAAAAGCTTTTCTCTTATATCCACAGAGAGAACTCATGGTGAGGACTAATACTAAAGACAACAAAATCCATGGAGGAAGCAAACTGCAAATAAATAAAGAGTAGGTAGATAAACAGATATATATATAAGATGCAGATGAAGCAGCACTGCAGTGCAAACACTGCAGCAGAATGTTCTACAAAAGGACATGCTTTTAACTGGCAAGGAAGCAGCCCAGTCTTTTAAACATCATGCCGCAATGTGCTTATCTGTAAAACGGCAATATTGAACTTGCTGCTTTTCAAATGACCCCCTGCAACAGTCTAAAAGTTTTCTACTTTACAAATGATATTAGGCTGACAAAAAATGTCTTATAAGTTGTCAAAAACTACAAAAGCTGGGCCATCTTATCTTTTTTAGTCTTTTGCTGGAACCTGTATTTTAAAATCATATATTGTGAGCAGTGAAGTTATACAAAACCAAGATATAACATAAGACTAGGAGATTCTGCAAAGTCTGTCATTTCTATAGTTCAATATGGACCACTACACACCTGATACAATCTCAAGCCCTAACTTGCTACCAAAACCTTGAACAGGTAGAGTGAGGTTGCTGTTTAGAAACCCAAACCAAGGATCCAGTACTTAGTCATAACCATGCCCTGGGACAATAGTTCTACCTTCTTTTAAACCACCATATACAAATCCCTGTGGCTAGTAAGACCCTTGGAATCAGCATGTATAGAGCATCCCCTTCCTATAAGAAACCTGAACAATAATAAAATCCAAATCTATATCCCATTTTTATAATAACTCCGGACCATTATTTATACCATACACACTATAACCTAAACCTATGCTCAGTTAGGATTTTTCTGTTCTCAGAAATGGCCCCCGACCTGGCCTTCCGTGCAGCTGTGGTTCATAGCGACACAGTGGTCATTGCACCAGTGGCAGTCGTTGGTATTGGCCGTGCAGCTGTAACAATCTGTGTGCTGGTCACATCTGTCCTGGTCAGGAGCTATAAAAAGAAGAAAAACTCATCAACTGTGGCAGCTTCGGTTGAGCACAATCTGAAACTGGTGTTAAAAAAAAGTAACAGTGGTTGGGAAGTAAAATGAGTGCAACTGGCAGGAAAATATACTGGTGTGTTCAGGTTAAAATAAGATTTAGAAATAAATAGGCAATCTGAAGAAACACTGTTTTGTACCCCCAAAAAAGTACACAGAAAGTGGAAAACAGAGACAGGTTCATTTAACAACTGTAAGATATAACAGAAGGTCTGGTTCTTTGAATACTTTTCTTCCCAAGAAAAAAGTCAACTAGTAATAGAATGAATGCCTGAGGCTGCCCAGGAGCCAAACAAAGTAATGTAGGAGGTCAAGCCATTCTCCTCGTTACAAATGCAAGGCTAATTTGGGCACAGGAAGTAGGCAGCACCCTAGAATCCCATAGGGGACATTAAGCTGAGCTGCATTTCGTATACTTATATGTAAATTCAACAGTGCAAGTTTGAGAACTTCTGAGCTACTATAGACATTTTGCATCTCCTGTGGACCCTAGAAAAGAGAAGCTGCTCAACTACGTTGCCTCATTTGTTGAACCATCCCATGGACAAGGCACACGGTGGAACACAGGAAGACGCAGGGCCCACTTTCACAAAGACCCCAGCAGTCTGCTCCTTAGGCTGTTCCTTCTGTCCTGGTCATCATCCCGAGGACTGGGCCCACCCAGAAAGCAGAGGGAAACAGGGACTCAACATCTCAGATGAGATGACGGCAAATAGGTTCATATTCGACCGCCTAAGGTAATTTACTGTTATTTCCTATAAACTTGCACATTTAATTTGAGCTTTTTTATTTGGATAAAAAAATAACTATTTCAATGATTTTATCCCTTTCTGAAGGCAGTGAGTAATCCTACCAGGTGCTGATAATCTCTGTTCTCCTGCACCCACCAGCCCACCACTGAACCTGGGAGGGTTGCCTGGGTGTTCTTACTGAGGATTTATGTTCCTGAGTAGCTTAATTTGGAGCATCCCTGGAGACTGAAAGCTGCTTCTATCCAACATAACTCTCACGTTAACTGTCAATACCAAACCTACTTGTTAAGAAAATTCAGCCAACATACTTTAAATTGATAAGAACAAATATTTTGTAGAGACATTCTTCTTACTAAGAACTTTCCCACACATTACTTCACTGTATCATACTGTGCTCTTTATCAGAGCCAAAGGACAAGAAGCTAAGCAGGCAGGACCATCCTCAGCCACCGTCAGCCTTGCTATCACTGTGTGTCCAACTAGAGGAGCTGGAGAAGAACATTTTGTAAGGGCAGCCACTCTTCCTTATCCACCGGAACAATTCACCCCAATGAGGCTTTTCTAGGTTGACCCTTCTCTTTTATCCTTGATGTCAGACCTCTGTAATCCAATATGGTAGCCACTAGCCACGTGGTTTTTAATTAAAATAAAATAAAATAAGAAATTCAGTTCCTCAGTCACACTAGCCACATTTCAAGTGTTTGACAGCCTCTTGTGGCTAGTGGTTACCATATTGGGACAGTCCAGATACAGAACATTTCCATCATCAAAAAAGGTTTTATGCCGGGCACGGTGGCTCACGCCTGTAATCCTAGCTCTCTGGGAGGCCGAGGCGAGCAGATCATTTGAGCTCAGGAGTTCGAAACCAGCCTGAGCAAGAGTGAGACCCCGTCTCCACTAAAAATAGAAAGAAATTAATTGGACAACTAAAAATATATAGAAAAAATTAGCCGGGCATGGTGGCGTATGCCTGTAGTCCCAGCTACTCGGGAGGCTGAGGCAGAAGGATCGCTTGAGCCCAGGAGTTTGAGGTTGCTGTGAGCTAGGATGACGCCATGGCACTCTAGCCGGGGCAACACAGTGAGACTCTGTCTCAAAAAAAAAAAAAAAAAAAAAGTTCTAGGCCGGGCGCAGTGGCTCACGCCTGTAATCCTAGCACTCTGGGAGGCCGAGGCGGGTGGATCATTTGAGCTCAGGAGTTCGAGACCAGCCTGAGCAAGAACGAGACTTTGTCTCTACTATAAATAGAAAGAAATTAGCTGGACAACTAAAAATATATAGAAAAAATCAGCCGGGCATGGTGGCGCATGGCTGTAGTCCCAGCTACTTGGGAGGCTGAGGCAGGAGGATCGCTTGAGCCCAAGAGTTTGAGGTTGCTATGAGCTAGGCTGACGCCATGGCACTCACTCTAGCCCGGGCAGCAGAGCGAGACTCTGTCTCAAAAAAAAAAAAAAGTTCTATTGGCTAGCACTGTATCAGACTAACTGCAGCCAGGTTCTGGAGTTGGTATGCAAAGCCTACGCAATGACAGGATGGTTATGTCTCTACCATTCACAGACAGCTTCTAGGAGCCACATGGCATGTTCCCATCCAAGATGTTTACAAACCAATTTTCAAATACCCAAAAAGGCTTTGCACAAGTTATTACTGAATAATTCTGGATAATAATAAGGGGAACATAAAAAGCATACATATGCTGAGTTCCTTTACAATTCAGATACAATGTGATTTCAAATTTATTAAATTCTAAGTAGAGAAAAAAACATACTTTTGGAAAAACACTCTGATCTTAACTTCTCTTCATGTTCTTTAGTTGTTGACTCCCAGGAGATACACTGAGACAACCCTGTGTCCCACACACACCGGATACCAGGTCCTGCTGCTAAACAAGCAGCTTCACTCTTGTGTGCATCACACTGTTCTGAGGTGAACACCAGGATGTCACTGAGGAGGAGACTGTTGAAACCACCAAACACATACATGGTGCTAAGAGGAAAAAGAAAAAGAAGGAATTTACTGAACCCTTAGATAACAACTGCATGACATACTTTGTACAGACAAATCTTACATATAAGTCCTCTAAGAAATTATTTTTCAAAGTTTCAAAAACATTCTTATTGCTCTCCCTCCCCAGTTCCACCCTTTCATCCTGGCCTGTGACCACCCAGAGTGGTTTCTATGCTCTACCTACTCTTCCAAGACACTATATTAGGAAGTGTTCCTGACAGCCTGGTGACTTTTAACCTTCAGTCTCCGGGTGTCAGGGTATGCTAACATCTTTTAAATTTAAACAGTAATTCTATATCTACATGTTTTTAACACGTTTTTAAATATTAAAAATAAAAATATACAATTTTAAAAGCATAGGTAAAAGCCTCTATAATTAGGGCTATGACATATTGGTGCATAAAAGCATAGACCAACCAGAAACAGATAAAAGTGCACATGGAAATTTGGTACACAGTAAAAGTGGTATCTTAGTGGGGGAAAGACAGTCTTTCAGTAAATGGTACCAAGATAATTAAACCTACAGAGAAAGATAAAACTGAATCTATTTCTCATTCTATGTATTGGAATATATTCCAAATGGATCAGAGAATGACCTGAAAAAAAGAAACCACGCGAGTACTAGAAGAAAGAATGGGTGAACTTCTTTACCACCTAAGAGTGGAGAAAACATCCCTATAACTTAAAATCCAGAAGGTAGGGAAAAAAAGATAGAAAATTTTGATTATATGAATTACAAAGAGTTTTTACATAGAAAATAATGCTATAAGCAAAGACAAATAAGCTAGGAAAAACTTATTTACAATTACATTACAGAAAAAGGAATATCCTAATATAGAGAGGGCTTCAGCCAGTTTCCAGGGGGAAAATGCAAATGCCCTTAAGCATATGAAAAAATGCTCAATTTCAGTTGTAAGAAAAACACAAATTAAAACTACACTGAAAGGCCAGGTGTAGTGGCTCACACCTATAATCCCACCACATTCAGAGGCCAAGGCGGGAGGATTGCTTGAGGCAGGACTAGCCTGGGCAACATAATGAGACCCCATCTCTATGAAAAATTTTAAAAACTAGCTGTGTGTGGTGGTACATGCCTATAGTCCCAGCTGTTCAGGAGGCTGAGGCAGGAGGATTGCTTGAGCCCAGGAGTTCAAGGCTGCAGTGAACTACAATCATGCCACTGCACTCTAGCCTGGGTGACAGAGTGAGACAAGAAAGGAAAGAAAGAAAAAAAAGAAAAGAAAGACTAAAAACTTCCCAAATTTGATGAAAATGAGTAATCTATACATCCATAAAGCTCAACAAACTCCAAGTAAAATAAACACAAAAAGATCCACATTTTTTGTTACATAATAGTACATATTTCAGGGTGCATGTGATATTTTGATACCAGTATACAACGTGTAATGATCAAATCAGGGTAACTGGGATATCTGTCACCTCAAACATTTACCTTTTCTTTGTGCTGGGAACATCACAATTCTTTTAGCTATTTTGAAACATATGATAAATTATTGTTAACTACAATTTTCCTACTGTAACATCAAATAAAGATGCACATTTTGACACAATATAATCAAACTGTTGAAAGCCCCAAAGAGAAATCTTGAAAGCAATAAAAGTAAAACAACTCATCATATACAAAAGAACCACTTTAAGATTAACAGCTAAGAAATAATGGAAGCTAGAAGGCAGACAGATGACACAAGGAAAGTGTTGAAAGAAAAAAAAACTATCAAACAAGAATTCTCTATCTAACAAAACTACCCTGCAAAAATGAAGCTGAAATAAAGACATTCCCAAAGACCCAGAGACTTCTTTGCTAGCAGACCTACCTTACAAAAAATACTAAAAGAAAATACTAAACAACAATAATAGTTGGAGACTTCCATATTCCATTTTTGATAATAGATAGGAATAGCTAGACATAAAATCAAGGATACAGCACTTGAACATTATCAACCAAATTAACCTAACTGACATCTACAGAATACTCTACCAAACAAAAACAATATACACATTCTTTTCAAGCTCACATGACACATTCTCCAGGATAGACAATATACTAGGCCATAAAAAACTCAATACATTTAAAGAAAAAAGGAAATCATCAAAGTGTGTTCTCCCACCATCACAATGGACTTATATTAGAGATAGATATCCATGAAAAAGAATGCAATTAAACCCTTATCTCACATCATATACAAAAATCAACTAAGAATAGAGCAGGCTTAAAATGTAAGACCTAAACCCGTAAAACCACTAGAAAAAAATATCAGAAGAAAGCTCCACGACATTGGTCTGGGCAATGATTTTTTGGATATGACAGCAAAAACAGAGGCAACAAAAGTGAAAACAGACAAATGATGTTACACCAAACTAAAAAGCTTCTGCACAGCAAAGGAAACAATCAACAGAGTAAAGAGACAACCTGTGGAATAGCAGAGGATATTTGCAAGCAATATCTGATAAAGGGTTAATATCTAAAATATGAAGAAACTCAAGCAACTCAATAGCAAAAGAACAAATAACCCAATTTAAAAATGAACAAAGGACCTGAACAGACATTTCTCAAAAGACAAACAAATGACCAACGCGGGCATGAAAAAATGCTCAACATCACTAATTATCATCACTAATTATTAAGACAAAAGATAACTGTTGACAAGGATGTGGAGAAAAAGGAACCCCTGTACATTGTTGGTGGAAATGTAAATTAGTGCAGCCATTGTGGAAAACAGCATGGAGATTCCTAAAAAAACTAAAAATAAAACTACCATATGATCCAGCATACCACTACTGAGCGTATATCCAAAGGATATGAAATGAGTATGTTGAAGAGATATTTGTAAACCCATGTTCACAGCAGCATTATTCGCAAAAGCTAAAAGGCAGAAGCAACCCAAATATCCATTGATGAATGAATGGATAAACAAAATGTGGTATGTACGTATGCATGCACACACAAACACATACAAAGAGGAATATTATTTAGCCCCAAAAGACGACATTCTGACACATGCTACAACATAGACAAACCTTGAAGATATCATGCAAGTGTAATAAGCCAGGCACAATAGGACAAATACTGTACACCACTCATAAGAGGCACCTAAAGCAGTCAAATTTATGAGACGGCAAGTAGAATGGTGGTTGCCAGAGGAGGGGGAAGGGGAGAATGTGGAGTTATTGTTTAATGGGTACAGAGTTTCAATTTTGGAAGATGAAAAAAGTTCCGGAGATGGATGGTGGTGATAGTGCACAAGTGTACAACAATGCTAATGTACTTAATGCCACTGAAGTGTTCACTTAAAAAATGGCTAAAATGGTAAATTTTATATTTTACCACAATTTTTAAAATATCTCAAAAAATCTTAAATTAACAGGAAACAGAACATCTGAATAGACGTACCTATCACAAGAGATTGAATTAGCAATTTAAAATCTTTCCACAAAGAAAAGCCCAGATGAATCCTATCAAACATTTAAAGTAGTAATACCAATGGTTTACAAACTCTTCAAGAAAATAGCGGAAGGAACACTTCCCAACTCACTCTATGAGCCCAATATCAGCCAGACAAAGACATCACAAGAAAACTACAGACCAATATCCCTCATGAATATAGACAGGAAATTTTTGAACAAGGACACAGGGAAACTCTTCTGAGTGATGGATGTATTATCTACATTATGTGCTGATGATTTCACGAAGTGTATACTTATGTCAAAATGTATCAAATTACATACATTAAATAAGTGCAGCTTATTGAGTATATCAACTGTACCTCAATAAAGCTGTTAATAGACCACATACGCACAGCTCCACACATTCAAAACAAAAGCAATTATAATTGCTTAAGGGAAAATTCTCAAGGCTAATAAGTGTTTACAAAATGATACACTACAGTTGTACCATAGAATACACTGGACCTTACTTGCCACATCTGTGATATCTCTGTGCCTTTTATGTGACGTTCCCTGGGACAACCTCAATCCCACCAACCCTGTGCGAGATTAGAATCTGAAGAAAGAGTTAGGTTGGGGGCTGTGTAAACAGGAGAGACAACACTACCCTTAAATATCTGAGGGAGCTACACATGGCAAAGGATCTGTGCTTCTCTGTGAAGATTTAAAGAACAGAAATAAAATCAAAGAGCAGAAGATACAAGGAAGTGGATTCCAGATAACACAAAGGAGATCTTGCTAACAACTGCTGTCTACAGAAAAGAAAGGAGCTTCTTTCTTAGGTGAGTTTTCCATTCCTGGACAGGTTTAATTAAAGGGGCACCTTCCTTGTTGGGCATGTTCACCACCTCTGAACAGGGCTAAAGGGGATGTCTGCATTAAGTGTGAGTTCGGAATAGATCATCTCAAGGATCTCTTCCAACCCCAAGATCCTACAATCTACCAGAAAGTTCAATACTCATACACAATGAGGTATCAAGTAATTCACTCTCATTATGCCTCAATGTCCCCAAAATTAACAGAAATGAACACCAGGTTTCCTTTTTAACCTCACTATTGGCTTACTTGGGGGCATCATGTTAACCAGGCTGGATTCAGCTAGTTAATTTGTTGCTTAAACCAAATACACTCTCTCCTCCTTCCAGTACAGTTGGTGTTCTTGGCAATTCTGAAACCATCTGGTCATGCAGAGGCTCTGAAAGGGCGAGAAGAGCCCCTCAGCCCTCTCTTCTCCTTCTTGCCTCCCTCACAGCTATTAGGGAAGGCATAGCTGACCCAATGCGACTGAGCCACTTAAAACATGAAGAAATCATGTGAACCAAAGTTTCTTTTTCAGTAAATTATGTCATAAAATTAAATTGAAACCACGGCCTTTTAATACGTGGCCTCCTTGTCCCCTGTCCCCGCCAATCTTGTCTCATACTCACATATCAGGCTTCAAACACACCAGTGGAATTACATAAAAATAAAAACATTATTATAACTCAGGCAAGCCAGTCCCAATTTTGATTCATGGTTAAACTACATTTCATGGTAAACTGTCAACTTCTCTGAGTCTGTATAAAACCTAAGAATGTTTTAATACATGATTCATTTGTTTGCTCATTATCATTGTACTAATGACTGCCATTTAGCAACTGCCTATTATGGCCAAATCCTGTGCTAGGAGAACATCAGGAACACAAAGATGAAGACAGCTGAGGCCAGGCACCCACAGGCAAGGTGACGACCAAATACTCTCACTGCATTTTAGATGAAAACTGCAAGAGGGACTTGCTAGAAGGCTTCAAGGGCCTTCCTCACTGAAGAAGTACCAGATTTTGATTTAAGATAATATTCCAAATGTTATCTTAAGGTGGTAAAAGGTAGTAAGGCAGCAAGGTAGTAAAAAAGCCTTCCATTTTAATCTGTAACTATCAAATGTTCTTGCAGTAAAACCATATATATTGCTAAAAAACTAAATAAATATTTTATAAAAGATAGTCCCTTTTCCAACACCCAGTTTCTAAATTGTCAACTCTTTCTTCAGGTCTCCAAAATATATCACTTTCTTATCTTTACTAATGCAAGTTAAATTACCTTCATTTGTCTTTCTTCATAACAGAATTTTGAAAGTCAAGTGAATCCTAACATAACGTAGGCATTAGAGCACTTAAATAGCTTAAGGGTTTATACAGCTTAGAATTTTAAAGGGGGAAGTAGACAGCAGTAATAATATAAGAAACAAAATGAGAAAAAATAACGATTAAGCTGTTTAACTTCTGTCGCCCAAGCTAGAGTGCAGTGGTGCAACCATAGCTCACTGTAGCCTCAAACTCCTGGACTCAAGCAATCCTTCTG